AGGGCGAGGTGTGTAGCGCGTGAAATGTTTCTCTCTATATATATATATATATATATATATATATATATACTAAACACTCATATCGAGCTTGAGAAATAACCAGTGATCAAACTGAAACTTCGGAATTATTACACTTTAGACGCCATTGAAATCCTAAGGTTGACTGATAAAGCTCGTGTTGAACCTGTATGTTAATGAGTGTGTTTAATCAACAATATGTAACGTGCAAGGAAATAGACGCTACGGTTTAGTGACCAAGCCTGGCTTCCCATGGATGCGTACGCAGATTGTGACGTCAGTTGAAGTTTACAATAGTCTGGCCGCATCCACATGCCTCTCATGCTATCGTATAGTGACTCTGCCAGAATAACTGGCTGAGTTTGATTGCACACTGGTTTCCACCAGTCAATACAGCCGGAATTTTTCCTTCTCTCTTAATGTGTCTTATTTTCATCCTTGAAATGTGCACCACAGTGCCCGTCGAATGTGGTGGTGTATTGACCGGACGCTCTCTCCGTGTCATGCCTGTCCGAGCTTATCAATATCATTCTGATAAAAGGCAAAAACTGTTCGCCATAAAACTGCCTACAAGGTTGATGAAAGCTCATAGACAGACTACTAAGGCCATTGCCTTTCTGGTCACCTATCAGGCAAAGTCCCCGGAGATTCCGTCAAACCTACATTCTCTTTTACGCATCCTATTCAATACTTATTTGCAAATTCGGTTGTTTTGGACGAAACAGCTAGCTGAATCTCTCGTTTATACTACTCTTCAGCTGAGTGTATTGCCCGTGCTTCAGTTATAACCATATTCAAGCTGTCGAAGTATCCACATTGCGGTATTACTCACTACGTCGATGAGAACTTTTGACACTACTTTGACGTCCTTGCTGTTTTCGCCACTTATCTGATGGGTCTGCTGCCCAAATTTCCATCAATCTCATAATACAAACAAGTAGTTAACAAAACGTTACCCAGTTTTAGTTAAAAAAAAACAAAGTGACATGTTTTGATGCAGCCCATTTAGTTGAATCGTTCTACAGACGCCCAAAAGTGGCGTAAGATTAGTGTGAAAACTATTTGTGTAGATATCTGAGAAACCTTTGGAATGGTGTCGATGTACAGGCCTCTTGAATAGTGCCAGGATATCGGTTGCGTCGTACATCGTGGCGTAAACATCAACTTTTAATTGTCATTTTATTACTGGAGCAATAGCTTGCCGGTCACTTCTACAAACATTGTCTTTTTAAACCGTACAAAGTGGCAAAATCTGCCGGCTTTTGGAGCACAACAAAACTGGAAATGTTTGAAAAACTGAATAGAACAATGACGTAAAACAAGCTTCGTAAAACTGTATTGTGAAAGATAACCGTGACGTTTTCTCTGTGGCGAAGCCAATGAAACACAACAAGGCTCATACGGCTTGCTTGGGAACTTGTTGTTTCTGACCTGATTCTGAAATATCTCCTCCAACCTTAGCATTCGAGGTCTTAGTTGTCCTGCCGCACATCTCTATTCACTTCATACAAGTCTGTCGCATTGGTTCGAATTTCTACAATGATCGATCAGATCCCTGAATTGGAGAGTAGCATCCCAACCTGATGGAATCATTTAATCGCTGAGTATGTAAACCAAAGTGGTCGTAGTATACCAAAGAACATGGTCTTGTGAGACCACGGCGAAAGAGGCAAGTAATAATGGAATAAAAATGATGGCAGGAAAGTACCAAGTCTGATTCAACTACATGAGGGATACTGTTGATGACATGCTCCAAAGCACTGTTGAACCAACTTCAAACTGACTTGTTGCCGGTAGTCACTTCCCCATGATCAAGCTCAAAAGAGAAATGCACGATCACTGGCTACAAATTCACAGCGATTTGTAACTTCACTCATGTACTGTCGGTTTCTTGGCCGTGATGCTTTTATCCTGCCAATAAGGCTTTCGCCAGCCAGGGCGGATGAATGATGATATGCATGGCTTCGGCGATTCGAGACCGGCCCCCAAGTTGGCTGCCGACCACCGTTCTGATAGACTGTTCAACTGGTATTCTAGAAAAATGACGTAAAGCGATGCGTCATGAAAACCGTGACATAGCTTCCGTATATCCCAGATAATTTGTCCATTTTGTTTGAATTCGTCAGAATAGTCTTTAGGGAAAATTAAAAATTGGCTGAATTCCCTTGGTTCTGGTCTAAAAGGGCTTATTTTCCCCGGTGGCGTGTCAACCTGAAACCGTCAATTTGAGTTTTAACCCGACCCTACATCGCTAATTTTGTTCACTTTTGATCGTTAATTATTGATCAGCAACGGACAATAGGAGCTGATCATGACGACCTCCGATTCGCTGCTATTGCTCACACTCACCTCAGCTCTGTAACTGTTGCTTTGTTATTATGCATTCCACGTCCTAACTCCATCGCTCCACAACGCAATCTAAATTTCACACAACTTTGTATCACATCACCAGGTTTCTCAATCAACAACTCCATCTTCAACACACTGGTTATGCGATTCGCTCGTCGAGACGGTAGCATAGCGTTTGATGACTACGTGATTTGCTGTGCTCGGCTTCAGACGTTATTCGAAATCTTCAAGGCCAGTCCAAAGACGACTGAAGGACGTGCGATATTTGATGAAACTAATGTGAGTTCTGTATTTTGAATGATGAAAGTGGTCTATCTACTGCATGTAGGATACCGCATCTCACGGAAGTCTAAACTCCACGCAACCTGAAGAGCGTAGGCTGATGATGCCCAAACAATCGATTCGGTTGGCCAATAGCGTGGCACTTTTGTTTTTGTGTCTACAAGGCTGAAAAGATCTCTTTAAGTAACAAATTGGGATACTGTCTGGTTGACCTCACTCTAAAAGGATATGGACAAGGTTGTTAAGGACTTCTCAACAGGTGTAACACCGAGCGCACTCTAATGGAGTCCTCATTGATTTAATTACATAAGTATCCTGATAAGCCTAAATCTAAGCAAATTTAGGCAACAACCAAGGCGCGAATTTCAGGAAGAATTCTCCAATTGTTCGGGAATGTGTCTGCACCATCACCACCACCAACGATAACAAAGAACAACAGCAAATGGCTTGAGTCCATCTACAGTCTCATTACGCTTATGGACGCTGGATGAGGAGAAACGTAATGGTTTAAATTTCGGTATATAATCATCATCATCAGCCGTAATAACCGCGTACTTCTCGTACAGTGGTTGTAGCTGCCGCAGTTTCGTTCACCGATGATTTTGTGGGGGGGTAGATAGCTGCGCATTGCAGGCGGGAGATGATAAATTGGTGCATAAATCCAGCACTGTCAGTGGGCTGTCAAATGGGGGGTTGGGAAGGGATCTATGCATTGAAGGCAATAGGTTGGATGCATATTCGCTATTGAGGGCGCGACTGGGCTGCGGAACTCAAGAGGCATGGAGGATCAGTTAAGACTAGGATTCTCAAATTGTTGACAGGGGCGATCGAAAAAAGGACCAGGTTCCAATCACGGACAGCAGTTTACTGCCTCAACCACCAAGCTATCCACAGCTCCGTAAGACGAACACACTACTGGAGTGCTTTCAAAGAGGAGAAAAAATTCATGATATTCCGAGTCTGCCACCTACACTGAGGATAAGCATGTACGAAATATCGGTTTATCCAAGTCGCACTGCTTTTGGAAACCTTAAACGGCGGAAATCTTTACTAGATGTCATGAAAGCCCCTTCCAAACATTTCTGTGCCTGGTGTGGTTTGTTTGGATTATAGGAAAAACTTTCTCATTTTAATCGACTGATTGCAGTGCGGCTTGTTGTTCTCCAATGTTACCTGAAAAAGCTTTTGTCGGTTCATCAGGCAGAAACTGATATTATTAACCGCCTTTCCATTTTCAGTTTGTGAACACCCTACTTTACATGTAAGTGGCCAGTGAGTGCAAATTGTGCTGAGATATTCACTCATCAGACCAATCCATAAATTCATCTTCCTACCGCCTTTCCTGCGGCGTTTTCTTTCTTGCTTATCGCGCTTGAAGCATCGCACCGATGAATGGCGAGTTACAGACACCACTATTTTCCATCATCTATAATATGCTTCTTGTTTCACTTTTCACACACTTAAGTACTTGCGCACAATACTGATAGTGTTCTTTCTGGCAATCTCAACACCCTCGGTTGGTGTTTGTTGCTATTACAATTTTGTTTTTGTTTTTGGTATCCACCGGACAATCACACCCTTTCTACCAAAACGACCCGAATGTGCTATTCTCCGGCCTGTTTTTCAATCCGCCATGCCCTGTTCTGCTTTTTCCTGAAATATTTGTCCGTATCTTCTTTGCTGTTTCCCGAGCTTTTAAACCCAGATCGGCTAGTTATTCTCCAAAGTTTTATTTTTATCATCATAATACACGATATCGCAAAGGTTGTTCAAGTTCTTACATACAAAGTTTTAATCTGCTCCACTTAACAGAAAAAAATTAATGATACATTCCTTCTTGCTTAGAAATCGCACCAGAAATGGGTTCATCTGATATTCCGAGGGGTTGGAACGGCTGATACGAAAGCTCCGGACGGCCACCAAGGTGTTGAAATTTTCAAGACGACACTTACTAATTCCTTGTATTGTCTTTAACCATGAAGATGATTTACTTCTGAAACGATTCACTTAAAAACACCAAGAAAACTATGAGCTATGTACAGACGTAAAACATTAATCATAAGGTTGCTGAAAAATCTTCGACGGCCCACGGCCGGTTTTGCCCTTCTTTGAGCTCATCAGCTAGGCGCAGTCCCCTAGTTTCCATCAATCCAATGCTTTACTTGAGCCCGAATCGCACGAATTTAGCAAACTTCACTCATTTACACACCACTTTGGTTTTTACGGGAGACTCGCCTGAAACCCAGCTTAAAAACATCATAAACGAAAGATTCGGTTGAGTTCAAGGTGAATCTGCTGTAAGAGCCAAATCGGTTTGCAGGTGAGTGCATTTCGCTACAAACTTTGTTTCAGATTAGTCCTTGTCTTGCCAACCAGATGATTGTCGCTCTCGTTTTCAAGGTACACTTTCGGCTACAGAAAACCGCCGGGAATATGGGATGTCTGCTCGATCGCAGCCACATGCGATAAGTTGTTCATTGGAGACGGTCGAAATAACGGGGGGGGGGGAGTTCAATGCAAATAAGCCTAAGTGTTGTATAGACCAAGGAGAAAATGAACGAAAACGGAAGACGATTCGACAGGAGACACGCTTGGCTAACCCGTCGCTACATGGTCCTGTTTTACTGCAACGACTGACTGAAAATGCATCATACCACAGATCCGCTGACATCCGCTTTATCTTGAGATGTGGACGCGTCCCGAAAACCACGAAGGCTTGGTAGACAATCGGTAGTTATCAAGCCCTTCTGAAACGATAACATTCTCGATCTGTTCGAAACTCCCCGATTGAGACACTTGGTTTGTTGTCAGAATAGTTAATACTATCAGCTAAAGCCGCTTACCTCTTTTGAGTGTTTGATATCCGGATTGTCTTTGGTAGCCGTCAATACTAGGGAGCAGCACGTAGTGCGTGACTGCTCAAGTGAAATGATTCCGACAACCGTATAGCTAACCTCAAGATAATTGTTGTCCGAGCAATGAAGAGCACCCAGAGCCATTCACAAAACTACAGGCTAGCGTTAGAAAATCATCGAAGGTTCCCACATCAACATTTTGTTCGGAACGACCAGCATTGTACCATACCTTCGAAACTTTCCTGAGATGTGTGTCCCACATTGGCGTCGTGTCAGCGACGAAAGTTTCATCTGAAACTCTTCACTGGCAAAATCATATCCCCCAAGCCATATTTTGTTGGGATTGGGGGCCGACTGATTCAACATGGAGAAGCTTTTGCGCAGGCGACGCATCGATAGACTGAAACATCGTCGGCATCAGTTATTAGCTGTAAACGGTTTGCTGTAGTTCTAGCTGCCACATACTGGTTCACAAGTAGATGATCTTTTTGCGGACTTTGCTACACGCCGTAATTAGTGACTCTAGAGGTTGTTACGGGAATCACAGGCAGACGATAATCTGGTTGGACGCGCTTGCCTGAATTGTGACTCTGTTACGGGGCATGAAGGTGTCTATGCAAGCGAGGTAATGAAGAACCCAATGCAAACGCTGGGCGCAAACTTCGTAAATTCGTCTGTGAAATTATCATGCTGTCATCAAAATTAGTGTTACTTAGTAGTAGAGCAATATGGTGCGTAACTCGGACTACTGGAAGTTCCTTCAACTTTGGAACGCAAACACTTTATCATCTAGCTACCGCCATGACTATCCTTCGAATGTTGTACCAAATAGATAATATATGTTCCTGGGGTTTAACCAAGGCAGACTGCATTCATATACACGCTCAACAGTAAGTTATTCCATCCAAAGTTTCTGTGCTTTTCTTATTTAGTGGTGGAATTTCTTACTCATGATTTCATATACCAGTTTAGGAACCTGTTTGCAGAACCAGTATATTCACTTATGAGGGTCTGGTTTTGGCAAGAAGCGTGATGATAGCCTTTAAAGCTTCTCCGCGTTAAAATACTCAGATTTTCACCCTGCGTTTGTCAGTCATTATGTTTAGTGGAATAACGAATCTGAATTTTGAAACGGTTGCGTTCCTTAGATATTCAGGGCGTGTCTATGTACACAACTGCAGTCATCTAAGCAGATGTAGCAACACAAATCTAGAGTAAATGAATCTACTGGAGCAGTGCGTTCGGAAAGGCTGGTCGTTTCTCAGGGGCGGCGTCAGCTGTATGCGTGTTGCCAAGTCAATCGATGTACTGCAGTGAGCGAGAACTTTCTTGAAGTCTTTTTTCTTGAGTATATGTTGTATTTAGAAGCATAGTGCGACTTCTGCGGGCCACCGAGGTAGCATGCTCAAATAAGCTCACTGTCATCGTTTTCAATGGCAGGAGTGATAACTGATGGATATGGTGACCACAGTGTCATCTTAATTTGAATCAGTTCGTGTGTATCCCAAATGCGGCAAAGCTTATTTCCAGAGTGTGTGGCTGTCGGAGCAAAATATGAAATGTTGTTTGATAGCGCAGTTTGAAGGACGTAAGACGTCTACGTAAGATGCGTGAGGCTTTAGTTATTTTTGCCTTAAATTGCGCATCGAAAATGCCAAATAGATGTTGTGTGATGCTCCTACCATTGCTCCATATGTAATGTACGATTGAACTCAGGTGCTGGTGCTAGATGAGCGAATGCACATTTAGGTTGTCCACCATCGGGAAGTGTATCGCATGAAATGTCCGCTAAGCGGCCTTGGCCAATGCCATGGAACATGGGGGCAGGGGTTCCTGTTATAATGCGGCATACTAGAGAGCAGTGAGAAAACGTTATAACTACAGATATTCTCTCATACTATGTCCCGTTAGCTGTGTGCACTGTGTAGAGCGAATCTCAAAAAACGCCTTTGGATCAGACAGTGAAGTTGAGTGAAGTTGAGGAAAAGTTCGCCTCTGATATGTACATTGAACAGTATTTTCCTCAGGACGGTGGAAAAGAGCAAAACCGACTCCTTTCCGCTATGTCCTGTTAAGATAAGCTCAGCTTCAGCCGTCTGCATGCCCAAAGAGATTTGTCGTTTGCAAGAGGGCGGGGGATAAGTCTGTTGGTTAGGACAATGAATGAATATAGGGCGCCGTCAGCGCTACAAAGCCAGTGCAGTGAGGTTTTATCTCCTCTCAAACATGTCTGATCCTAAAACTATAGTGGCTTACATCTGAGAAAGAAAACAAGAAATTCGCAGCGGGTAGGGGGACGCAAGATAACAACAAGGGTCCAGGAGCAAATTGTCTAATTCACAGGGATGTAGTTTTGATGCAATAAGCAATGACCGAAATTTATGGTGGCGGGTAGCGAATGGCCATCCAATAGACTTTAAGGAATCAGTGATGGGGTTTTAAAAGAGGACGAAGTTCATTCAGGGCGCTTTTTGACCAGCGATGATTGACACAGTCTGGGTTGATGAATCGACGCGCAAAGGATGCAGAGGTGGGTGAAGAAAGCCTGTCTACAGCATTAGCGTGGTTACTTAGATAGCCTTACTAAAGGTCTATTTGGCACATAAATATAACCTCTAAGAAAGAGGTGAAAATGAAAAAGCCACAACACCTGGCGCCGGAGCTAACCTGTCCAGAAAAAAGACAGACCTGAGGGTATCAGCAATCTGGTTCCTAACGGTTGGTCAAAGGGAAAAGTGATCCGGGCAAACTCAAAAGATTTTTAGTAAGCTCTTGGGGAGTTATGATCAGAAAAAGGCATACTGCTTAATGGAAAGCGTGCAGTAGTACCCACGAAGCTAGAGGAGACCCGTCGAGAGGAAGCAACTATGGCGCACTCCAGTGTCGGCCGGTGCTCCTGCAGCCTCCGCCGACCATAATAATAACAATGTGTTACTAGCAAAACAAGAAAAACGCAATTCAGTGTGGATCATGCCATAGCCAAAGGTAGCCGGAAGAGCAAGCGATTCTTATGTGATTCCCCTCATACCATGGGAGTTGTCTGCTGTAGCCCTTCCTGTGCGTACCACAAAACAACACCTAGTTTTTGAAGGTTGCACCTTCTAGACTGAGACACCGCAAAGTGCCAAAACCTCAGCCACGTTTAATCAAACGCGGTGGCGGTTTGATAGGTTTATTTCCCAACTTGTAGGGAACGTGCTAAATGAGGCATGATTGGTCGTTACAACCTGAACGCGCCAGGCAACAACACAACGAAGAGGAATGTACAGCTAATGAGACAGGCACATTGCGTGAAAAGTTGGCGCGGTTGTGGAAGATGAAAAAAACAAGGACAATTTACGGCTCAAAAATGTGTTTTGTGCAGAAACCGAATATACCCATTGGTGACACGGTTGTAGGGAAGTCAGCTGTAAAGGATAGTTTGGTTGGGGAGATAGTGCCAATTCATGGGTCCAAACGGATACCATTAATGAAATTGAATTTGTGGAAGGAGAACGCCGAAAGTGAAGCGGCATACCGGGTAGGTCATACCCGAACGGAATGTTCAGCGGGATGGACCGAGCTCGTTTCAGTAGCGGTTTGGGCCGGGTGAAATATTTGTTCGTGGTTATAGGTAAAGGATTGTGTAAGCGACAGGTGACGGTCGAGGGTAGGTAAAAAGGTTGCGGAATCGCCTCCGGAAACAAGCAGAACGAAAATCATTGTTTTCAGGTTTGACTAGTGTCTTTTAAAAGATGTTAACATTATCCAAGTCTTCAATTTTGGCCAGCAGTTTTGCAAAATAGGCCGCGCTAAGACGCCGGTTGCCGTAACCGCAGTCGATCGAACCTTGATCTCGATATCATGTTGACCGCCATGGGCAGCGGACATTTGTCTTCAGTGGTTGGTTGTTGTTGATCTCCACAGGCGATTGAAAACAACCCTTCCGATGAGCAATACCTCAATTCCCGCTGCTTCATAAAAATAACCGAACCATTCAATCGCTTCGGCACCGCGAGCATGTTACATAAAAACAGCAACTCATTATAACGTCCTACTGATAATATTGCGGGCAGGCTGGACCACATCCGGCCAGCGGAGATGATTTCCAAAAAAATATGATACATATGAGGGTATTGCTTCGTAGATAAAAACGCTGATGCTCTGTGTAATTTCTGCCACTTCTTGGCGCGGAAGTTTTGTTTAAGCGGGTGGTTTTCCAAGGCCACCAAATACCTGCTCAAGGAAGCAATATCCCTACTCAATCACGTGTCTTGCAGCGTCATCCTCATTAATAATGGTTCGAATCTTAATGGCGGGAACACTATGAATAAAAGCTTGTCTCTAGGTAGGCTCGGGCCGACCCTCTTGAACATAAAATGGAGACGATTTGGAGTGGTTATGCGCGGAAATTCACATATATAACCAGTTTGCTGATGTAATTGTGGCAGAGACGTTCTTATTTGTGGCACTGTGGCATAGCCTCCATTCGATATATTCCATCGTCCACATCGGAGGTCTATCATTATTAGGCGGACCGTATTAGACCATTTGTAATCGCCATAACAAAAGTGAGTATTCTTACGAAGGCAGAATGAGCGGTTTTTGCTTCAATTTGAACTGGTTTTGGTCTACTTCGATAAGTGGCGTGGAAACTTATAGATGGATGATAAACACCAAGTGGATACTTGCAAGTTGTTCGGTGACTAAAAATGCATATTTCCAAGGGCTTTTGGCGTGCTAGTTGGCATGATTAGATTCCGCATTTGCGCATGTTCTGTTTTATCACTGACAGCTTCAACTCTTATAATAACTCAACTATATCTGCATCCTCCGCACCAAACGGATCAGCGATTGTATCTGCTTTTACTCTAGAGAAGTGTGTTATGCTTGTGCAAACGGATTAATCAACCTTTGGCCGAAAAGTTGTGTGAGAAAAATAACAGCGAAATACTATTCATTGAAATACAAAATGGCTGGAAAAGTATTTCTTGGCGTAAGACAGCGGTTCACTTTTTGAGTGAAACCTGTGATGTACCAACAGGATGTATAATTTCGACAGCCCAAGTCGGCTGAGCTGCGATTCCTTGTAATCTTTCCGGGTTTATTCATTACACTCCGCTTAGACAAGTCAAGCAGTGTTAGACAAACTTGTCTTTAACGAGTGACGCGCTTGAACTGTGGAACAAGGGAGGCTAGACCAGCGCTTGTGGAATATGTGAACTGTGCCTAAGCGTCGCGAGGGCCACTTCATTCAGGCATATACTACGAATACGTGGCGGTACAGGAGCCCAGTTCTTAAACCTATGCTAAGTCAATCGCTGAGAGAGGCTACCGTTTTTCGTTTCTGAAACATTCGATTATCCCAGCAATCTATATGTACGAATGTATGTTGCTCGTTAACTACATACCACGTAGCCGCGGAAGATGAAGCGCTTTTTGGAACTGCCGAATATGCGAAACGAGCGGCATATATTAGTGCTTCCACGCACGAGCACGAAGGTGTTATACTCGGCGTCAATAAATACCACCTAATGAACAAGCTTTTATTTAACGCAAAGCTTGGATGCCTTGGTTGCCGTGATGCCCGCTTCGCCTGAAAATGTGAAGCCAATAGCTCGAAAATATACTTTTAATAATAGCACTCTTCATACGTGGATGCCAATAAACGATGTCGGCGAGCATAAAATGTGCTGGTATTCCACCGGAATTCTCGCGGTTTGAACTCAATTTCCATAAAGAGACCATACGGAATTACTGTGAAATTTTCCTTATAGCACCCCTTTTCCACCAAGGCGATCTGTCGATCTTGAAGACAATGAATTACAGAGGTAGCTTGCCCGGCAGCATTCGGCAGTGCAGTGCACTTGGCTTCTGTGTAGTGGGCACCAATGTGACCTCGGTTGATGAATGCCCATAAAGTTCCACATTACTTTCCAGAGATACGGACTGCACGAGAAAAGAGTGAGCACTTAGTGATTTTAGCTCCTCGCCAACTTTTAAACGATTATGACACACCCTCAAGAAGCTCGCAACCTGGTCCAGACCATGAGTCGCCAGCGACGTTTCTCACCTTGGCGAAAACGCGGTTCCTTGAAACGGACAAATGTCGTAGGTGGTTCTGCAGCTACAATAATTTGTGCGAGTTGCTGTTGCCTACGATACACCCGCTGACGCTAAATATTCTGAGGGCTCAATTCCGAAAATAAACTTGCACCTGTTACTTTCTACCCCACCAAAAGTATGTTGAAGCTTTTGTCCTTTTATCTTGAAGGACGTATTTCATCGCCACCCTCCTGACGGGAAAACTCATTAACCTCTAAATTCGTACGGGTCTGAAAGATGTAATACTTTCAGAATATGAAATGTAGTCCGCATGAACAAAGCAGATTCCAAATAGGTTTTAAGTTTAAGGCTGAACGCAAATAAACTTACAGCACAGCACGATTAAAGGTTGCCACTTACTCCGTCAATGAAGGACGCATCTATAATGAAGTTGCAGTTAGTGTAGCCATCATCCGGTAGCGTTGCTGATATGGCTCAATGTAACGAAACGAGGTTCCATCCAGAATACCCTGCAGAGTCATGGCAACGCATTTGCTCCAAGAACACTTCCACAATGTAACGGAACTAGGAAATTGGCCTTACCAATGACCGGAGAGCGTTTTCATTCAGACAAATTTATCATCGACTCTACCCCCCAACTGGCGCCCTTAAATATTGATATTTATCGGTACATTTCTCCCCGGAGCCAAAATGTTGACGTCAGCTGATCTCTGAGATACATTTTTTTGGGTTCTGTGCTTCATTCCAAGCAAACACCAAGGCTGTTCCTGTTCACAGGCCATATGGCAACCACGCCAGCTACTTTTTTTGAAAGACCGAAGGCTGAACAACAAAAATGTTAATTCGCTTTTGTACTCCTCATAGAACAAGCATGTAGTTCCTCACCGCCATTTAGAGGTTTGTTATGACAGCAGCGATAGGATAAGCCATTTATTGTGCATTAGCGATAAGCAGGACCGGTCGACGGGTCACAAAACCAGGGAAACAGATATCATTGTCCCGAAGCCGTCATCTAGATTGGGAGCCACTATCCTTGACCACTTTCGGCGTATGATATGTGACGGATGGGGTATCAGAGGAGATAGAATTCGCCTTCAGGCAACTCACTGCCTAAAGGAGATTGTGTCATTTATTTTTCCAACAACTGCAGATGGTTTGCCACCCAGCTAATTTGATTCCGCGGGCCATTGAAAGGTCTAGAGAGAAGTGTAAGGAATATTCGTTGTTTCGGTAATTTTTGCTGGAGAGCTGACTTTGGTGAAACAGGAAACGATCCAGCGAAACATCTGTGAATATGGTTTCTTACATCGTTGAACTGTACGGCCTCTGAATACCGAGAGAAAATGAATGCAAGGGAGCCTTACCCTCTGGTAATAAGGGCATATGTAGTAAGTGGAACAAGTTTCAATCGTCTATTTTTTCGCCAAAAGCAGTTGACCAGCTAACGTCTCAATTTGTTGGATCCAGCGGGATGATACTGAGGTCTCTAGCGGGTTTTGGACTCGAAGCGAGGAAACATGCATACGCAGTCGTCTGATGGACCACGTACAGAACGTTGCCACCACCCTCCAGGATTTCAGTCTGGTCGGGGGACGTTTGCCGTTATTTGGAGGTCAGGAGGCCCCATTGCCACGGTGGGCTATCCGTGATTGTGCATAGACAGCCTACTTGTGGATTACATATGGCAAGTGGGCTGTGAAGTAAGATATGAATTACTAATCAGTGCGACGCAGTATTCACAGGTCGTGGCGAAATTGTTGTGCTAGCAAGTTACCAGAGGGAAAACCTGCTGTGCAGCACTTTCTAGAGAAGTCGCGTGGTGAAAAATGTGTCGGATTTTTGGATAGAGTTTCTACGACAAAATAGACGGATGCTATACGTGATTCCTCACAGCGTCACAAATATCGGAATAGTACTACGCGATAACACGATAGGAGCAATTTCTGGCAGGCCGCATTTGTGCCACCAATTCCTCTATGGTGAACTTTCTTAAAGGATAATGTTCACACATCATCCCTCAGAAGGCTGAAAAAAAACCCACCTTTCCACAAAGGCACACATGACCTGCCGCTCGGCATCCACGTCATCCGCGACCGGGAAAATGTATAGACGTAAATACATGTGCCATACATCATGCGATTTAAAGGGAACCAACTAAACCGGTTGCACCGACATTAAAGACTTCATGTACGAGCCAAATTCGGTCAAAAGGTGCACACGTGCTGTCCTCCTAAACAAATGACATGAGGCTGCTAGTGCCTGTGCACACTTCTGGTCGAGCCGCTACCTTAGGAGCTCCATCAAATGCTCCATCTCAGGCCCAGTTTGAACGTGAACGACGACCACGTCGTCCGACTGAGGGGATTCGCTATCCACTGCGGCCAATGAAAGGGTAGGGGTTTTAGGCGGAAACCCAAAACTAACTTGCTGCTTATGACCTAGTGTTACAAAGGTCAATAATTCCAGCTCCCAAGTGAGCCATTCGGGGATGCTGCTGCTTCTCTTTACGGCCTTAAGCCGGGCTATGTTTGTGTTGTAACTGTAATTTCCCTCAGCTTAGTTCTCGGTCTTAGCCTCCCAAGCTAGCGTTCACGTCAAAACAAACACCAAAGGTGCACAAAGGTTTATGAACGCCGAAAACGAAATCAGGAACAGTTGTACAGCGCTTCATATATATAGCGTAAGCGGCTATAACTTTCTGGAATTTCTGACGCGTTCTGGAGCTCCATTGGCAACCGGCATTTGGCCAATACTGGGTCATGATTGGCTGT